GCAACTGGCGTATCAGACGTATCTGATAAAAAGCCCCCCTGGCCACGGCCGTCATATGATCGTTTAACGACAGCCGGGTATCCAGGAGGACGCCCAAGTTGCGTGCCCTTTCCACCGGGGCCAGTGTTTCGCCCCCAATGGCCAAAGATGGAGTAAACTGGCTGAAACGAGGCGCCGAGAACCACAGAAGAAACTTTGGAAATGTGCCTTTTCTGTTGCAGTGCCTACAATGACATCTTTCCTGAGATTAGAACTGGCTTTTCCCAAAGCATTAAAGACTTGGGTATTTTTCAGAGCCCGGGAACTGAAAGATTTAATGACCCTTGGAGGGGTTTCTGTTGATTGCTTTGCCTAATCCTCAATAACCACTGTAGCTTTTTAAAATTATAGACAGATTAGATAGGTAGAGGTAGATAGATAGATAGATAGATAGATAGATAGATAGATAGATAGATAGATAGATAGATAGATATAGACAGACAAATAGAAAGACAGTTGGATATAGATATGAGAGAGAGAGAGAGAGATAATATAGATAGAGATAGAGATATAATATAGATAGATAGAGATAGAGATAGCTAGATAGCTAGATATAGATAGTTGTAGATAGATTATACATACAGTACATATATACATACATACATCTTTTCTAAATCCATTTATCCAGAAAAGAAATTAGTAGCTTAAGTGCTTAGTAAAGTTCATTTTGATTTGTTTCCCTTCTGTTGGACCACAAAATTCTGGACTGTACACAACAATCAGCACAGAGAAGGCTAGATGAATATGATGAATGTCTTACCATGGGAGGAAAATGACTGTAGTAGTTGATCTTCCACTGGGACCTGGGCTACTTTACTTGAATAGCTAATGTAATGCAACTTCTATCCTCTGGGATTTTGACCAGTGTTAAATCTGCCTCTAGACATGTAACTTTCAGTGGGTCATTCCAGCCTTGGAACAGCTGAGTCACAAAAGGGAGCAGAGTCAGACAAAATGATTTAAAAATGTGGGTGAAGGACAAACTTTAATTAAGTAGTTCTGTTATTATAGCTAGTTAATTATTTCATAGAACTATGCAGTACATCAGTTGCACATGGCTCAAGTGTTAACTCAGCTGAAGAGCCAGTTCAGTGAGGTGACACATCTGCTCGTCTAGAAACCAGGAGAGGATGAATTCCACAGTAGTTCTCCCTTGGAAACAAAAGCCAGCTGGGTGACTTTGGGCTAGTCACTCTCTCTTAGCCCAACCCACCTCACAGGGTTGTTGTTGTGGAGAAAATAGGAGGAGGGAGATTTGGCATGTATGCTGCCTTAACAATAAATAAAGACAGGATAAACCATAACTAAACTGGAGTTGAAGTCATGAAATCCTGCCTCTTTAAGCCCACCTACAGAGGTACTTAAAAGACTGTACATACATCATTTTGAATTTTCAGTATTTCTACATACATACAAAACCCCCTTTGCCACACACGATTATATAGTTTGGTTTGGTTCATAAATGAGCAAGTATAATGTTTTGGACTTATTCATTTTTTAAACAATTTAAACATTTAAGTCATAAGTCACTTTTTTCAGCACTGTTGTAACTTCAAGCAGTCACTAAACCAAGGTCATAAGTTGGGGTTTACCTATATACAAAATCTGCACCCAGCTGCCGCCTGGACCAAGTCCACTATATCTGAAGTAATCTGAATGAGTCCCTTAAATTTACATTATTTACAGTATTTCTGGAAGCTGGAAAGTATGGGCCAGTGAGCTTAACATCTGTAGTAGTGACGTTAATGGAATTACTCCTGGAAAAAAAAAAGGATTAATGAACATTTAAAAGCGCACAATTTGATGGACCCAAAGTAGCATGGCTTTACCGAGTGCAGATCATGCCATACTAATCTGATTGACTTTTTAAACTGTGTCACAAATGTTTTGGATGAAGAGGGTACTGTAGGCATAGCTGATCTGAATTTTAGCGAAGCATTCGATACAGTGCCATGTAATGTGCTCACAAAAAAGTTGTACAGGCTAAGGCTTAACCACTCAGTGTTTCGATGGATAGGAGGTTGGCTCAGGGATTCATCCCAGTGTGCGATTGTTAACGGGGCTCTGTCAGAACAGAGACCAATCACACACGGTGTACCACAAGGATCAGTCCTAGATCCTGTTCTGTTCAATGTGTTTGTTAAGTGATATAGCACTTAAGACTTATATACCGCTTCACAGTGCTTTACACTCCTCTCTAAGGGGTTTACAGAGTCAGCCTTTTGCCCCCAACAATCTGGGTCCTCATTTTACCGACCTTGGAAGGATGGAAGGCTGAGTCAACCTGGAGCTGGTGAGGACTGAACTCCTGGCAATGAGCTGAATTAGCCTGCAATACTGCGTTCTAACCACTGGGCCACCACGATTCACGTATCTCACAGAAGGATTGCTAGATAAGGTTTGTGTTTTTGCTGATGACACAAAAGTATGTAATAGAGTTGATGTTCGTAACATAGAAAACGATTTGGCACTGCTGGAAAATTGGTCAAAATTGTGGAGACCCTAGCCCTCAGTGTTGTTTTATGGGAAAACCAGAGGAGGGAGGAGCATTATGTACGTTCGCCACTATGAGTTATTTATAAAAAATAATAATAAAGGTGGGACAAAAACCTAATAAATAAATAAATAAAGCTTGGTAAGGTTCTAAAGCAAAACTTTAATAAATTAATATGCACGCCCAGCAGAAATACAAAAAGACAACTGAAAACCACAAAGCCATTTTTTCATTCATTCAGTGTTGCCACCTCTAACTGGAAACACACTAAAAGGCTTTTCTTAAAGTAGCAATCAGAATATGTTTCTGCTACATGAAAATGTATTCCAGCAGTTAAACAAATGTTATGAAATCCAACAAAAATTATCCTTCAAGTAGGAAAAGAATGATAGGAGATGTCAATAAACATTGAGAGATTCTGGATCTCTGGAGTTTGTTTCCCCCCTCCCCCTCTGAAAGATCAGAAACCAATTACAAAACAGAGCAGAAAACCACCACAGACTGACACTGAGAAACATGCTAAATCACAGTCACAAACTATTTCAGAATGCAGATGCTGACTCCTTCTGTTGCGCCCTTAATAGGAGAAGCCTCACAAAAGAGGTGAGCAAGAAGCAGATCAAGTTTAACAGAATTTCTGGACTAGGATAAAACAGCCCACAGCTATAAATCCTGGGAAGCAGAGCATACGATCACCTCTCCCCAATATTTTCTGTATGGGCAAAAGCAACCTAATAAAACACCTTTCATACAGCACAACCTCACAATAAAAATTCAGCTGCAGGAGCTGGCTCAATTATTCACAGTCCTCCCGATTTTTCTCGCCAGCCGCTAGAAACACTTGCACACGTACTCCAAGTTCAAAATAAAATATCTTCATTTTTTATAAGCATCTCCACCACCAGTCTCTGATAACGAATGTCATTCAGGGCAGCCATTGCATCTAGCCCGGGCGCTCGCATAAGGGTTGGTCCGAAAACAATGCCAAGATTTTCTGCATTCATGAGGTTCTTTTTTTCGTGGAGAGTTACCCTGGAACAAGACAGAAGGCGATTAAAATGCGAGCTATCAAAAGCCTGGATGAGCTGTAATTGTGATCTCGTCGACCCAGAAATGAAAAGGGTCACGTGAAATACAAATTAAAGATAGCTTGAATGGTCATAACCACAACCTTTGTGCAAAAACTAAAATTCTCAGTGTTCCCTAGCGAACAGTTACGGAAATGCTCCTATAAGGCTGATAAAGAATGATGGGTAAGGCAACAACCATAAGGCAGATTGAAGGGAGGAACAAAATAAAATATTAGATGCCTTGTGAGTAAGATACTGGAGCTAATAAAGGGTGATTCATTCTCTCTCTCTCTCTTTCTGATAGGGCATACACTCTGTCTGCATAGATCTACAGTTCCTATTATCTCCCATATGAAAGCACCCAGCAACAATGAGTCTGATCTTCCTATGTAAGCAGACCCGGAATGTCACAATTGTCAGAGTGAAACATGTGGAATAGCTAGCTAGGCCAAGAAGTTGCCCAAAGAGCTGTGTTCTTTAAAGCACAGAGTCACTTAACTCAAATGCAACACTTGTCCTTGTCAACCCTTTAAAAATAAAATAAAACACTTCAGTCCATCTCTCTCTCTCTCTCTCTCTCTCTCTCTCTCTCTCTCTCTCTCTCTCTCTCCCTCCCTCTCCCTCCCTCTATTCCATACACATCATAGACAACTGCCAACATAGCAGGGCATTTCATCAGCTGCCCATCATTTGTAGTCAATAGGAATAGGTATGCTTTGGACAAGTCCTTCTTGTATTAATCAGTGTTTCTTAGATCAAACGTAATGTCTTAATAAAGGAGGTCTTTCCTTTTTCTCTCATATAATAATACTAGAATTCAGGATCATTGAAGAAAGGTGAATGATGAGACATTTCAGGATACAAGGAAATATTTCATGCAGCATCTACTTATATTATGGATTGGGCAAATGCATGCCAGGTGAGGATTTTAGTGTACTTGCAATGCTGACGTTATCTGTGATTGGAAGCAAAGTAAGTCTGAAAATCAGATGTTGGTAAAAAATAGTAGAACATTGCTATTGTTCTCTGGCTGGCTATTGGCAGAAAGAGGAGACTGAGCTAGGTGGCCTTTTATCCAACATTACTGTTCCTTTATTTATTTAATCCACCTACCTAGTGCAAGGTTCTTTCACTTTTGGGTGCAGTTCTAACATAGTACAGGCGTTCTCACAAAATGGTAGATATGATGCACCCATATACCAGCCGGCAAACAAACTGCTGGCCTTCAGCACTCAATATTTTAGTTGCTAACAATGGTTTTGGGTCTAATACTCAAGATGTTACTCAGAAATATTTTATTCTTATGACTGGTGCTCTGCTTTGCAGCATGGTAGCTTCCTAACTCATGAAAATTACAAAATAAAATTAGGCCAAGAGCTTGACAATCACCAAGGAAGGTAATGGTCAGTCCATTGCACCCGGATACCACAATGGGGACTAGACTGACACCCTATTTTCTATATGGCCAACTAGATCAGGGGTCCCCAAACCCCGGTCTGTGGACTGGCACTGGGCTGTGGCATACCAGCAACCGGACCACGCAAAAACAAGTGAAGCCCCATCCGCTGGATCCAGGCAGCACACGAAACCATGCCCCCTCCGGTCCGTGGAAAAATCTTTCTCCACAGAACCAGTCCCTGGTGCCCAAAAGTTTGGGGGCCTCTGAACTAGATGCTTCAAAGCCATGAACAAGGCAGGGAGAAGGGGGGTCAAGGAGAGAAATCTCCCAACTTTTGCTCTTGTTCCACTTGGAGCAGTCTTCTCTCCAAAGAGCTGTCTACTTTCTGCTACACTTTGGAAAAGATCTTGATCATTCTTTATGGGACGGTATCCTTTAGTTTATTGTGTTTTAAAACACGTATTTGGATGTTACTTGTAAACCAGTTTGAAAAGATTTATGTTCGGGAAAATCAACATATACATAAGTAAAAGCTATTTTGAGACTACTAACATGCCATTATGAATTCCACAGAGGGAGGATAGAAGTCTAGAAGTGAATAACACCATGTGCCTTTATAAAAGGTTACACTTGCCATAAAATGAAATCCAACTACTTCCAAAGCCACTACAGAAAGACAGACCTCCACAGATCCCACACCTTCTGCCTCTAGTTAATGGGTACAGTAGGAACAGCTGCCCCCTCCCTGTTTCTGTTTGAATGGCATAACATACATATAAACGGCTGTCTTGAGAGGCTATGATTTGCTTTATGGTGGCTAATTGCCTATTTCAGAAAAAAAAAAACCCTCACATTTGTAAATTAGTTTTTGAGCAGACTAAACAAAAGCTCTAACGGATATTACTGATTTACAGCTCAAGATAAATGCCATTAAGGATTTAGTCGTTAAATAACTAAATTTCCATTATTGGAAAGTTCATGAATTATAAAGAAAACATTAAAAACCCATCCCAGAGGCTCTGTTTAATGTGGAATTAAATCATGCCAGACACCTATAACAACAGACGGGAGCTGTAAGTTTGGGAACAAATGGTTCTGAAGTTAGACAACCCTGCCCTGAATTGACTTTTCAAGCTGATATTTTAAAGGGCCGGAGTCAGAGATGAGCAGGATTCTGTCCCTCCAACTGCAAATTCAGATGCCTCCAATTAAATAATTACAGTGATGAAGACCCAAGACAAGGTTACTTCCAACAATGAAGCAGGGGCTCCCACAGACATGTTTAGAGAGCTCGGCCAACACACCAACTTAAGAATAGAGCAGATAGTGAGGGTGAAGTAAAACTAGTCAGAAAAATTGCAAGTACAGATTATTCTATGAAACAAGCTACACGGCTTGTTGGAGACATTGCACATTGCATGAACCATCATAAGGTGTGAATCTGTTAATATTTATTTATTTGTTACATTTATTTGCCCCCTATCTTACTGTGGGGCTACTCTAGGCGGCTCGCAATAGAGTAAAAAGAAAGAAAATGAAAGGAGTGTAAACAGGACAGAAGTAAAACAATAGAACAATAAACAACGACAAGGGAACACAGCGAGAATAAATACATCAATATGATAACTAAAAAGATGGATGGGTGGACAGTAGAGAGCCGGGGGCGGGGGGGAGATAAGTGGAGTCTGCCATCAATCTAGCAGCCACCTCCAGTGTTGAACTCCCCCAATTTGTCCCCACTGATATGTGATAATATGGGTGAATGTTGGTCTTCTAGTACAGGGCTTTTCAACCAGTGGTACGGGTACCACCTGTGGTACATTGACACCTGGCAGGTGGTACGCGACCATCCTAGAAAAGTGGTAGGAGGGGGAGGGGAATGAGCTGAACCGGTGGCAGCACCACACAAGTCTGAGTGAGAGATGGCTGGAGCTGCAGGGCTGTCAAGGCTCAGCGGAAGCACCAGGATCAGCACCAGGCTCCAGCTGGAGCTCGGCGCTGATCCTGGTGCTTCTGCTGAGCCCTGAAGAAGCACCGATCAGCTGGAATGTTGCAGCATCCCCAGGGTCTTGTGATTTACATTCAGATGCTTGGCAACTGATTCATATTTATGACGGTCACAGTGTCCCAGGATCATGTGAAGTGACCAAAACCTGCTGCAACCACCCAGCAGACGGGGGGAATAAAAACCAAATACCCCCCACCCCACCCCTGCTGCCAATCCTCAACAGAAATGCTCACAACAATGAAAAACCTCGGACAGGAGGAAGAGCGCTGCCGGGCGGGCAGGCAGGTGTCTTGCTTGGCTGTGGCTTGGGAGGTACTTAGTGACTTCGAACAGTCACTAAGTAAACTGTTGTAAGTCGAGGACTACCTGTACTTTATCACTTTTTTCCTTTTTTGGGGGGGGGTCATCAAGTTTTTGACACCTTGCTAGGCAACTGGTGGAACTCGGATATTGCCATATCCTAAAAGTGGTACAGTGGGTGAAAAGGTTGAAAAGCCCTGTTCTAGTACAGTTTCATGTAGACCATGTTGCAACAGACCAGACTAAGTGACCAAGGATGAGTAACTATACGAAGGGAGTCTAGGCCAGAAAGGGCAATAATTGCCACACCAGGTGAATTTGTGTGAAGACTTTCCTGGTGAGGCTGCTATAGGTTTATCAAGCACAAGCTATGAGTCTAGGAGGACCCCTAAATTGCATATAACGTTGAATGGGGGAGTGCAATCCCATTAAGAACCACTAGAACTAAGAGAGCTAAGTATCCACAGTTCTTTGGTCTTATCAGGTTTGATTTTGAGCCTATTCTTCCTCATCAAATTCGTCCCTGAAGAGCCTCCAGGAACTGGAATATGACTTCAATAGCACGACATGGTCAACCAGAGGTCAAAATATACAATTGAGCATCATGGGTGCCCTGATGATCAGTAGATGTCTTTGCCCAACAACTTCATCAATATGTAGATAAGAGAGGTGAGAGCATCAAAATTTCAGGCACTCCGAAAACCAGAGGTTGTTTCAGAAGGATACCATGATTAATGGTATCTAGGATTGCTGAGAGATCAAGAAAACCTAGGATGGATGCATCATGTCTATCCTGGCTCAGCCAGAGGTTATTAGCAAGAAATCATGTATGTCGTGATCAATGGATTTTAAAAAATGGAAGCGGTTAGCCCAAGAACTTGAACAAAAAAAAATGCTTGGTGGGCTTGAGATATGGACAAATCCTTTCATTTAATACCTCTTCAAATGTGCCATAAGATAGCGTAATGTTTCACAGTGCGCAGGTGGCAGTAGCTTCAATGCTTCATGAAGTATTTCCAGCTGTTCATCAGGATCTGTGGTTTCTGAAATTGAAACATCTGATAAACCTTAAGCCCAAAGATGCACAAATTAGAGGAGCCTCTTCGGAGGCCTGTGTTTTCTGATATAACACATTTTCAATATTATCCATGTGAATTATGTGCAAGGAAAGGAAAAATAAATAAAGATTATATTATCCTTACTGTCAGGTGGAGAATAAACTTTTGCTGTCCCTGAATAGAAAAAAAGCATGGCTAGAGGTATTATTTATCTAAATAAGCTGACATACATGAGGAACAACCTTGTTTAATCCTGTTGCTATCTAAACCTAATATCTAGGCTGGCTAGATATTAAAAACACCAAAGCTACAAGCATATAGCTATCAACTGCAGAACCAATGACAGGAGGACTAACTGTTCTTCATAAATTAAACACACTGCCTTCAAGAATGTTGCCACAAAATCTCTGATAATCAATTGTCCAATACTGTGTATACTGGTAATGGACTTTGCTATATCAGATTATTTTTTTTTCTATTACTAAAAAAAATGCTGAGTTCTTCAAAATTTGCAATATGTCTAGCCCTTTAAAAATGAGAAAATCTGGCTCAGCAATTTACATACATCCCTTGTTTCAAACAAACATAACATGAACAATTTAGACAAATTTTATGGTAATAAAAGTACCCATTTGAGAAATGATACAATTTAAGGCTTACTTGCAGATTCTATGAATTTGGGGTAGGCATCATATGTGATTAATGGAATTGGCAAGTCCCTGAAGTAGAGTTTAAGTGCACCGGTGATAATGTTGATATCTTCATACATATTCACGGAAATGTCTGCTTTTTCCCCATCTGTACATAAATAAAGAGGGAGGGGGACCCAAAATATAAAATGTACATGATATTAGCAAATGGAATTGTAATTTGCAATGATATTTAAGACAGTACATACACTGTTATACATACAATACAAGAGCAGAAACGAGGTAAAATACATTTTGAAATAAAGACCCTGTTCTATAAACAGCACTTTTCAAGGTATCTGTGGAATTGTTATCTGCAAAGAAAAAATATATACTGCTCACAAAAATAAAGGGAACATTTTACCATGGTACTGAAGGGGTTTGCGTTCCCTTTATTTTTGTGAGCAGTATTTATAACAAAGAAAATTGCCTGTGTTCACATTAGCTGAGCTCTGTGATTCAGCTGCAGTCTACTGCTGGCGACTTTAATTTCTATTCTCACAGAATTGTAATTGGTTTCAATGAGATTTGGGCAGAGTTATGCCTTTCAAATGCAAGATTATTTTTTTAAATAAAAAGTGCCATGACATAGAAAGTCAGACACAGAGCAATATATTTCTTCTTGTTTTGTTACCCCTACAATGGAACTGGCAGAATGAGAGATTATGGCATCCATAATCTCCAGCCGTTAGAGACAGTGAGAAGCATAGTCCAACATGTATTAATAATGTCAGATTAGGAAAGGTTGCACAAAATCACATTCAAAGACAGCCTTCAACATTTTAAAATGAATAATAACCCAATTTTAGCCTCATTAGCAAATTAGCACAGATGACAGAAAATGACAGTCACCTCCTAGTACTATTCATGAGTGTTACAGTAAGTCAGATGACTATAACTAAGTAATCGGAGCGTGGCTCAAGAAGTTAGAAGGCTGGGCTGACAGTTGGCAGGCTTATGTTCCAGACCTGGTTGCTGCTGCGGGTGGGGTGAGTTCCTGTCATATGCTCCAGCTCCTGCCGACCCCGCAGTTCAAAAGCAGGCGACTGCAAGTAGATAAATGGGTACCACTTTGGTAGGCAACCTTATGGGGATACTAAACATCCCCTGGGCAATGGTGTCATCTCTGGCAGATCCTTTCACCACGCAAGCACTTTGGTGCTTCTGACATGGAAGTAGCAGTAGTACTAAGTAATCACAAACTGCATTTTAAAAGCTTTTTAAAGCCATTCTTAGAACCCAAAAATAATTCTCCAGACTTTTTTGGGGGAGAATGAGCTGTGAAATGGCTGAGATCTAAGTAGCTACTTAAATGGACAATGGTTCAAATATTTCTAGTTTGTTTTTAATTATTTCTTTCCTGGACCACTGATCTAACCTACCCAGTACATCATGTCACAGCATCCTAAGCTCATGCAGGTTAAAAAATGCTTCATATTTGGCATATTTGCCAAGAGGACTGCTTTCAGAGAAGCAAATCAACTTCCTACTAGTCATGCAATATTAATTCACTGGATTCTAGCAAATACGATAGAGGTAATTATTATGGTAAGCACTGAGTAAAGAACATACCTCGATCAAAAGCCATTTTGACATCTTCAATTAGGTCGCTGAATCCTGATACTCGGTAGAGTCCTTCAGAATTGAGTCCTTTTAAAATTAAAATCATTACAAGATTAAGCAATTGTTGCTTTCTGATAGACATGCACTTTATGGTTAGCACTACATAAACCAGAGTTCATTTTTTAAAGCTGTAACTTTCTTACTCAGCATAATGTAAAATCGGCATTCAATTATTCTGTGCAAACGTATTTATAATAATGTTTCTGGAATGAGAAAGATGCCATACGTGCATATGTACATTCTCATCATGCTTTTCCCTTTTAAGGTAAAACAGCTTTACACAAAGTACAGATAAGAAGTAATAAACATTAAGCCCAAGAAATTATGTGAAATTAAAGCCAAGATGGGTTCTGGCCCATCTGGTGACATCCATGACATATAAAAGAGTGTGATGCAATATAAGAAAGGGAATGTTAAAAAGCATTAATTAACAAATGAAATGAAACTAACAATAGATATTCGGTGTGTCTTTGAAACTAAGAGAAAAGAAAGGGATGTGATGAAGACCGTCTCTGCTTGTGAAATGGAGCTGATAAATGCAAACATATATATATATATGAAATTAAGAATCCACAGGCTGGTGATGGTTGCATATTATGCTCCAGGGATAATGAAAGAACAAGGAATATATTTTGGGAAAAACTAGACAATATTCTGATAGAATGTAATACAAGGGGGAAAGGAATCTATTAAGTGATGTGAAAAGATGGGCGGAAATGTTATGAAGGAGTATAGAAAAACTGACTGGGCCATTTGGAAACTCCCCAAATGAATGAGAATATTGACTGTGAGCTATTTGCTCAGAAAAAAATGTCACTGTTTTGAATTGTGTTTATGTACAATCCATATGTACACACACAGGAAAAGAATCAATCAAAGCACGATTGAACTAATTATTTATGATAAAAACGAAAGAATTGGCGACGAATATAAGACGTCTGAATGCCGGAAAGACCACTCTTGTGTCAAAAATGGGGTTTGGGGGGGGGGAAGGGATTGTGGAAGGAAAAGAAAGAAGCGAAAGAAATGACAGTAAAAACAAAACCAGCTGCCAGAAGAGCAATGGGTCCTGCATAAAAAAGTATTAGAATAGTGGTTCTCAACCTTTTCTTTACCACGGACCCCCCCTTAAATACCTTTTGTGGTCATGGACCATGACCACGCACCCCCAAGACCAGAGGTAGGCAACCTCGGCTCTTTTATGACTCGTGGACTTCAATTCCCAGAATTTCTGAGTCAGCATAGCTGACTCAGGAATTCTGGGAGTTGAAGTCCATGAGTCATAAAAGAGTTGAGGTTGCCTACCCCTGCCCAAGACTTAACTCAATATTTAAACCATAACATTTCTTCAAGCCTTTGTGGACCCCCTGTAATGACATTGCAGCCCCCCAGGGTCTGCGGACCACAGGTTGAGAACCACTGTATTAGAAGACTGATTGCCAAATAGAATGAAGGAAAAGTAGATGAAAGACTCTGAAAATAACCCTCGCACATATTGGATGTTTATACCGATTTACATACATTTAAAATTATGTAAGTAACAAACAGGCATCGTGAAGGAAGACTTGAAGGAGGAAATTTCTTTTCTCACAAAAATGATTTCACAAAAGGAATGTTGGTTCTCAGGGAGCATTAATATCATCCAAATCTAATGGAACAGTATCTCGGTACTATCAAAGAAAAGACAGCAATATAGGGATTGGCTTTATAATGCTCTTTTCCAAATGAATGGAATTTATATTTCTTTTTCTCCAAGGCCACCGATAACTTTAGGACACCCTGAGTAAAACTAGTTAGAGCAAACCCCCAGCTGAGTGAGATCAATTTAACAGGATGATTAGCAAGGCAACCAAATCACTTAAGTATGCTTTACCTCTCGACTCAATTTCCCTAATGCACATGTCTACAACCATTGGTCTCTTCGTTAAGTGTACTTTTACTAGCGTAGTGAGATCACAGCTGTACACTTTTTTGACATGCTTCAAGTCCGGCTTGCAGTCATTGGGGACCATCTTGGAGCATTGCTTATGAACATTTAAGCCACAGTCTGATGAAAGAAGAAGACAAAAAGAAACGTTAGCATGAGATTCGGTGCAATGAAATTATACCTGTGTAAACTATGCAACACACCCAAAGACGCAGCCATAGCTGTGCGGATTTATGCAGGATGCGAAGGGAGCAACACAGAATCCATTCTCTCTTAATCGCAATGTCAAGTTTTTACAGGTAACTAGGTTTGGGATCCCTGTCAGTTTAATTTCTTAAATTCTAGTGCACCAAATTAAGAGAACCAGGTCATTTATCAGTACAGCTGGACGATTTTGCCAGTGGCAAAATACGTTTTTAGCTTTGAAGCTTTCAAAGCCTGGCAGCAGAACAAATAGGTTGCATTTCTAGCTACCTACCATAAATTTTGTGGATACATTCAAAAGACTTGTGAAGCTATGCTCAGCGAGCTGTCTGAACATCCTCTAGCTCAAGGCAGAGCTTAGCTGTAGTTACCATAAAGCAGGAGCATCCTGCAAGGGCATCCTGTGTTGAAGTCATCCAATATTGATTCTGGAATGCTCCACCCAAAGAGAGGCCATTCCACGTGCTGCTACTGAAACTCCTTTGAGATTCCGCAAACAGTCCCTCGTCCTTTCTTGATCCAAAGGGTTATGTTTTATCACCAACCTTTGTCCCTTTCCCTGTGTGTGTGTGTGTGTGTGTGTGTGTGTGTGTGTATGCATGTGAGTCAAAGCAGAAACACTATTATGAAAAGTAATCATCTGAATTCATTGCTGGTCTCCTTCAAAGCCTCTAAAACCAGCAATCCTCTTTATCTCATTATCGGGTTATCCGAATGTTTTGTAGTTTTCTCAGACCACCGAGGCAGAGGAGATTAGACCATATTTAATTTTATTAGCAGGCAAAAAGCTTCAAAAACGCTGCGAAGTGGATTTTCAGATACATTAAGCTAAAATGTCTCAGACGAGCTGCTCTTTCTCTTTCATTTCTAGAGCGCCACAGAAAAGATTTTATATTTAGGAGTAGGGAAAAAAAACCGGCTTTAACATTTTCCAATGAATCTGGAAATAATGTGTTTTTATTAATGCATGAGCAAACACAAGACCTATGAGCACTGTATTAAGGCAGCCCCAAGAGGATCTATTTCAAATATTTGCTGAGAGTACAATAAGCAGAGCTGTCACTTTCCTTTCTGCTGCTGATTTGATTTTTATCATCTCTAACCTTCAACCTGCTTATAATTCATGAAAATATACGGTTGCCAAGTGTATGCATTATAGAAATATCAGTGTGTGTTAAATACAGGACCATCGTATTTGTAAGTTGCACTGGGGAAGAGTAAGTACTGTGTCAGGTTTAAGAACTAACATAAATGAGGAAAAAAAGCTTATATGCTACTCAAAAAGACAACTAGAGAGCTCTAATAGTTTTAGGATTGCTGTGAAATTAGAACTGGATTGGAGGTTAAGTGTATGAAATAAGCTATTTCAGATATGCTCCATTTGGGCCCAATTCAAGGGCAATTTAGGATCTGGGAATATACTGTATATACTTGCTCAGAGTACAGGAAAAGATGTATTTGCTGTTCTTTATATGAGCTTATGTCAATTCAACGAAAAAACGCTATGAGAATAATCAAGATGGTACATTTCGTTTCTTCAGTAGATATAACTGAAAACACAGATTTCCAACTAGACCCCAGGGTTACGTTTGCCATCTTATAGCAGAATTTCTAAAAAGCTCTACATTCTCATTTTGAAATAACAGGTCAACCCATCACTTATGAAATTCAAGAAATCTGCCTGGCAAACAATTCAGTCTGTTCTTGAAGAAAAGTACAGCATTTATATTTTTATAAAAGTACAAATGTATAAATGTATGTATGTATAAATGAAGTAAGGTAAGTAAGTAAGTAAATAGTACAGCTTTTTAAACAGAGTTGCTTAAGATGGGAGGCCATATATAGGTTGTCCTCGATTTACGATCACAATTGAGCCCAAAATTTCCATTGCTAAGCGAGAATGAGTTGGTAAGTGAGGCTTTGCCCCATTTTATGACCTTTCTTGCCACAGTTTCTAAGTGAATCACTGTGGGTGTTAAATTAGTAACATGGTTGTAAAAGGAATCCAGTTTTTCCATTGACTTTGCTCATCAGAAAGTCGCAAAAGGTGATCACATGACCCAGGGACACGGCAACTGTCATAAATATGAGCCAGTTGCCAAGTGTACAAATTTGACCACATGACCATGGGGATGCTGCAATGGTCATAAGTGTGAAAAATAGTCCTTTTTTGAGTGCCATTATAACTTTGGTCACTAAGTAAATGGTTGTAAATTGAGGACTACCTGTAAATCTTTGAAACAAATAAATTGGGGCCTCCCTAGCTTTATCCCAAGGATGTGGTCCATAGGCTGGCTGAAAGAGGAAGGAGTGGAGATCTAGAAGAGAGTGGGACAACTGAAAATTTGCCACTCATGTTTTCTTTTCTTTTCTTTCTTTCTTTCTTTCTTTCTTTCTTTCTTTCTTTCTTTCTTTCTTTCTTTCTTTCTTTCTTTCTTTCTTTCTTTCTTTCCTTCCTTCTTTCTTTTTTCTTTTCCTTCCTTCCTTCCTTCCTTCCTTCCTTTCCTCTCTCCCCATTTGAATGAAATCTGAAATCTGTTGCAATTGGCCTAGGACTTAAATATTAGCATAACATTTGTTTGCCCCACATTCTCATCTTTAACTTTACTATGTATAGTTTATTGGTGAGTTACGGGATCACTTGGATTGAATATTCAGTAGAGTAAATATGCAAATTGATTATTAATCTATGTTGTACTGTGATGGGGCTATTTAATGAAGGTAACAAAGTCATGTAACTGAGAAAAAAAGAATGGATTTTATGGCATGAGCTTTTAATCTACACTTGAATACCCTGAACAAGGAATAGTGCGCATAGAAGATATTCACAATTTGTCCTAAATGCTCATTTACCTCAATCTTGATATTTCCTCCTAGAAACAGACCTACTATCTTGGAGACACCAAAAGAATTTTGTGCCCATTCAATGTAGCATTCATCTTTCCTGAGTGAAAGGAGAGCTTTGTGCTTTTTACTGGTAAACTCCTTGGACCGTAAGACTTTCATCTAGCTAAACTTCCTTCCAGATCGGTTACAAAGGCTGTCTATGAATCTATCTTTTCAGTGAGGGTTTTTTTTTTTGTCTTTTTTTCATAGATTTCTAACTCTTTAGCTCTTTGTCGTATATTTGACAAGACCGGTAGAACAAAGGAACGAGATAGTTAGTCTGCAATCGGATTTACGTCGGTATGACAGGACGTCCGTAAATACGGTAAACATAGGAAAGAGGTTCTGTAACAAAACTACGGCGCTGATAGGACATTTTTTCCTTTTACACCAAACGGGTTCGGTAACTTGTTTAGAGTACTTACTCTCACTCCGTGAATCCCTAGCTACGTTTAGCCATTATCCCAATCTGGAGCTCAAGTCCAAGGCAGGAAATGGCTGCTAATCTCTCGTTTTAACAATTCCTGATTAGAGATGCATGTGGTGCTTTGTGAGAAGGAAACATACAAATGGCGAAATCCATGAGGTACACTAAGCTACAGAAAAACCTTGACATCCCAGAGATGTAAGATGAAAATTAGCAGAGTTCAATGTACTTGGCCCAACTCTGGAAAATTTAAGACTGTGATATAGTAGGACAAGCACACACTTCAAAGTAGCTCATATCCACCAGTTTCTTCCTTCTCCTTAGCTTGCTGGTATTACTGAAAGAAAACCTGTGACCTTGTTGGTATGCTCCATTAGAGGAGAAGTGTGACAGAGGTCTTGGAACTTTGAGCCTAAGTATGGAGTTTTTGTTCCAGTCTCTCTCCTACTTGCTGGGAAAATACTGTTTCTCACAAAAGCAAATCACTAAAATGTTCAAGACAATTTTTAAAAAGAAAAAAAAAAGAGTTCTAAAGTTTATTCTCCCTTTTGCTCAAAATGCACCGGGGCCTTCCATTTTTTTCCCCTCCCACTCAAAGCTTTAGAAAAATCTGTCCCTAAAGAATTATTTTAAGGTAGGTGGCTATATGCATAGTGTGTGAAAGTACATTATATAAACTATATCTAAGTAGGAGACAAGCCACCCACATACCATAATGGACAGAAATTGCAAACTAGTTACCATGGTAGGTTATGTGCTGCAAAAAAAGATACCTGTTATACTAATTATAAACAAAATTTTAAAATGCCCTTTCATATTATACATCTAATAATAATAATAATAAAGTTGGAAGGGACCTTGGAGGTCATCGAGTCCAACCCCCTGCCCAGGGTCCTTGGGATGTGGTAAAGTCTGTTTGCCGACAGGTCAGAGAAGAATTTTTGAAGGTCACAACCTCGTAAGTGGTGAAGACCTCCGTCCAACAAGGTAACCAATTAACAAGATTGACAGTCCTTCAAAGACCTTAGTTCTAGGTTGCTTCTCTCCTTGATCAGTTTCCACCCATTGCTTCTCGTCCTGCCTTCAAGCGTTATAAGAAAAATCTTCCTACGTGGTCCTTGAGTTACAATAGTAATTGGGATTGGAATTTCTGTCACTAAGCAATGCAGTCATGTGATGTTGTGTTTCATGACCGCAACAACAATCCCATAGTCCTGGTGGCTTTTGCGACCCCAGAACCACATTGGCCATTAAGTGGGAAGAAGCTGGGAGTCCCAGGAAAGCAGGGTGGTGGAGTGGGAAGAGACACTCCAGTGCATGGATAGATGTGTATGTGCCACAGGAATTGCCACACGCAGGCACTCGGGAGCACAGGCAAGTGCACAAGTACTGCAGGGGCACGTGTGTGTGTGTGTGGTGTGTCACAGGCCAGTGCTACTGAGCATGGCCAGGTTCACAGTTGGGCAAAAAAGTAGTAGCAGCAGGAGTGTCTCCCAATTTCCTGCTGCCTTTCCCATTTTTGCTTGCGGGAAGCTGGCAGGGAACAGTGGAAAGTGCAATCACCTGATTGTGGGGATGCTGCACTGCCTGCAATTTTGTGAAGTGGTCATAAATCCCCCTTGGTCACTACTGTTCTAGTTTTGAATGGTCGATAAATGAATGGTCACAACTTGAGCATTATTTCCCCCTCCCCAAAAAAAACACACTCTATTTTTTAGGAGATGCAGCATTCTAAAAAAAAATAATCAAAGAACGTCCTCTTTCAAAAACTGCTCTCAAATCGTCGACTGGATGGAAATGATGCAGATTTTATTTCACCCTTCCTTACAAACATTGCTTTTAAGTTTCCGGTGCTTCATATTCACTTCTACGCAACCGTCCTTTTTGGAAACAGACCAACAGTCTCTTTTTAAAACGGGACATTCAAGCTAAACTAGAAAGGATCATGGAAAGCCTTGAAGTTCTCTAATCTTAGGTTGGTTCAAGAGGTGTTTCACGTATTTCAGGCTTCCAGAGACGGACCACAAAGTGGCGACGATCTGATTCTAGCGTGGCTTCTCAGGGGAAATGGCTGAAGCATCACTTTCGCTGCTTACTGCAACAGCTTGTTCAACTGCACACATCTGGCTGTGGTTGTAAAATGCACCTCCAGCTGCCTCTGACCTTTGGGGCTGACTCATACGTGAATCAAGAGAAGCTTTGGGGGCAGGAGTAAAACTGGGTTCAACCTCTAGGTAGACCTACTAGCCCACTCTTGTCGGTGTACACTCCTTGTAAATGCTTTCTACTGCTTTATTCTGTAGCCCAGCAGTCCTCTTTATCTTTGTCCTGTACAGGAGATGCAGGACACCAACAACACCAAATAAACAGTCATCAGGTTTAAAACAGCATCTGACTAAAATGTTCTCATTCAGGCATCGTGAACAGGGCAGGCTTATGTTTCAGCCACAAGTCCTAGTTTTCAGTTATCTCTTATATCTTCTTAAGGTTTGGAAATGTTAGGTTAACTCAGCTTATATCAACTTTGCATCTAATACCTGCCAACCTGCTCTGGAGATTTTAATTCTCTTTTGTGCCTTTTCTCATTACTACTAGTCTACAAGCGCAAATAAGAAAAGCCAGCTAAATGTAAGGAGTCCAAGTGCATTCCGTCCATTTTAATAAAAGGGATCAACATGTTTAATTTTCCCTCTGACCTAAGAGATCTTAGCATCTGCATTTCTTCCTTTCCTAACTTAAAAATTCCGTACTGGACTTGAGTGAGTGTGATAAATGTAAAAGACAAGAGTGCTCCATTTATATACTGCTTCCTTCAGCAAGATGTTTTCGCTGAAGGAACTAATAGACTAAGTTATCGGAAACAATTAAATGGGCTAAATCATGGTGGAGTGTTACATGGACAAATATGGTGAACATTGGTCTTGTAGATGCTTCTTCTGGCCACAATCACAGTTATTATCCAACATCTGATTGGTTTAAATTTCAGTATGTGAACAAGCCATACTCATAGTCCAAAGTTTCACCTTAGCTTCTCTGATTTAGCTGGAGTTTCATTTAACATGAGTTCCCCAATGATGGATGTAACGGGAAACCGGAAGGTAGTTGCAGCAAAACAACCTTAATAAGTAACAGGTACACTGAATAATAATAATTCATACTTTCCTTGCCTATTTTTCACTTAGATCATAGTTAGGGAGAGCAATTGTTTCATGCTCTTGAAAACATTTAACATTTCAGAAGAAGAACTGTTTTTAAGTTCTTTTTAATATATCGTCCGTAGATGTGTCTGTCTTCAAGTTAGCATTGACTCCTGGGGACAGCCTGGACAGGTCCTGCTGTTTTCTTGGCAACTTTTCAGAAGTGATTTGCCCTTGCCTTCTTCCTAGGACTGACAGAGAGAATAACTGGGCCAAGGTCATCCAGCTGTGATTTGTGCTTAAGATAGGACTAGAACTCACAATCTCCCAGTGTCCAGTTTGATACCTTAGTTTAGCCACTATAATGTACAGTAGTACAACAAACTAGATCTCTTTTTAATATATTGCGCTCTATTAAATACTAAACTGCACATTATTCGCGCTACAATTACACTGGTTTAAGAAATAAAAAAATATCGAAAGAGACAACATGAACAGAAATTAGTTTGAACAACGATGGCTATGTTACACAACAATTTCTGCAAGCAAATGATCCTACATGCCTACGGACAATATATTAAAAGAAATGTCTTAATTACTGAGACATTTGAAGGGTCTTTAGTTATGCAGAATGACATCTGCACACACATACCACCCAAGTTTCCTTTACTTGTGCAAACAGACACATAGAGCATTCCCAGAAGGGCTGTTGTTCCGTGCACACATGTCAAGAGATAATCAGGAACAGTCTTTCAAAGCATCTCTTTTCAATATTTTGGTCATCCACATAAACCTATGTTTAGTCTAGAGCAGGAATCTCCAACCCTGGGCCCCGGACCACTCCTGGCCCGTGGCCTGTTAGGAAGCGGCAGGCGAGCAAGTGAAGCTCCATTTATACATATGCGGGATCTAGGTTGCACGTGAAACCATCCCCCCTGGTCTGTGGAAAACTTATTTTCCATGAAACTGGTCCCTGGTGCCAGAAAACTTGGAGACCACTGTTCTAGACATTAATTTGTTGCATGTGGAATAGGATGATGATAAATAGGCTTGATTGGATTGCATCGTATCTTATATCTTTATTTTGCTTTTGCAAATTCAGAAGCTTCTATCGCTTCCAACTCTCTTTCCTGCATTTTAGCAACTGACAACTGTATATTATCTGGCAAAGCTCTAGCTTTCAGGATCTTTAATCCAGTTTTTTAATATCCGCCATTTCAGATTAAGTTTAAAGATTAAGGCAACAAATTCTATTACTAAATGGAAAAAAAAATCATCTCCAATCTGAGTCATTGTTACCTGCACATTTCACTCCCTGAGCAATGAGGCCCCACATGAAGTTGGCACAATATTCGCACCAGTGTGGACCTCTGAATGTATGAACCTGAAAAACAAAAGCAGAAAACAATAAAAGAGCGAGCGAGCAAGGGTTTAGAAGCATATTTTAAAAAGCACACGAGCTTTCTACTCCTTTTCTAAACTATAGCAGCAAAATAACAAATTAACCTTGTCGGCATGTGTTGTCTGTTACGGAAAATATGCCAAAATATAAATTTAAAGAGAGAAGGCGTTAGGCTAGATTGCTTCAAGCTCCAAGAGCAGAAATGGTTGGGGATCACCCTGTTAGCCACATGGTGATTCTTCCCCACTTCCCTGTATGAAAGGGAAGTTTGAAAGCAGGCACATGAGGACAAACAGCAGAACCCAAAGCCAGAATGTGTCCCACTTCTGTTTGTTGGGAAAAAAGATGGGGCTTCCTTGATTTGTGTTGAAAATAAGCCAAGCTATTTCCACATTGGGGGGGGGGGAAGGTCAGCCAATTCAACATCATGATTTGATCTGGAGGGAATTGCTGTCTTTGCTGTGTTGATGTAAGGTTGTTGTTGTTGTTTTTCCTGTGATTAGGGTTATTGTTGTCTTTGACCACCTGGAGTTGTGTATTTTTAATTCTTGTAAGCTGGCCAGAGCTTACTTATTTATATCTAGATCATATAAATAAAAATAAATACATTTACTATTCACTACATGAAAAGAATCAAGACTCTGATTAAAAAGTAATGCTACTAGCTCTGTTGACCATGAAGGAAAAAAAAGCAGAATAAAAAATGTTTGAAGGAAGTATCTTTCTTTATAAGACCAACCAAAGTTTATAAATTTGCTGCAAGTTTTCAGTTTGCCACCACTCAAATTAATTAGCAAGCGAGGGGATAAGGCTGATCATGAGGCTATATCTGTACCAGCTTATGTTCTCAAAAGGAATGATGGAGATCCTTCAGATAGTACAAGCAGGCTTTATCAAGTGGTCCCTGATGTGGATCCCTTTTCTCTGCCTATAGGATTTCAATTACACACTTAACCATGGCTTCAGACATACAGTACAAATCTTTTCAAGCATACCTAGTTTTCTTTTAAAAAAAGCAGTCTGCAATAATAAAAAATACCAAATGTAATAAAAGATTATGGGACTAAATATATTATGGGTCTTGCAGAGAAAATATAAGGTTTAACTTCAGACAGTGTGGATGTCGTTAAAGGATTAGCGCCCATATTTTTTTTAAAAAAGAATCTATAAATATGAAAATCAAAACTTTTCTATGCTCCACAATGATTGCTGAAGAAAAGACAGACCAAGGTAGGCTACTTCCTTCCTTAGATCCTGGTCTTACATTTTCTGCAGGACAAAATTGCATCCCAGCAAATAAAACTCTGTAGCAAAACATTCATGGCTAATATTTACAGGAATAAAATCTCTTGCTGGAAGCAACATTTTAACATTGGATTCTTAAAATTTGTGTTGCAACTAAAATTAACTAATGTGGATTTCATTAAGGCCACGTTTCTTGTACCACAATATTCTTAACCTAGAAAGTCATTACTTCGGCTATCTAGTTTGTAGCCTTTCAGTCTATATATAATTAAAGCTGAGCTTAATTTTCTTCTACCCCTGCTAAATTATCAAATAAAATCAACAACTGATTCATTCCGGCATACAGGTCAAGTTAACATGTTGCAGCAGAAAACAAAAAGTACTCTGGAGTAATCCTGTTCAAGGCTAACAGTAGTCATGATTGACCAAAACCCTAGAAATCCTACATTTTTCAGTAAATGCTTCAGAAAAAAAATAACTATATGCTGTATATCTGCTTACATTACTATTCCAAAAGCTGTTTGAATCAATATTCATTTGTGGTATCATCTTTCTTAGGCTACAATTTATTTTACTGAAGAGTAAGGCATAGTCAGGAATTCTCTTCCCCTAGCTAGGCCTATTTTGCTCAAATACCAATCTTTTAGAAATTCAGTTGATTCCTTGATTAAAATTAACATTTTAATTTTAATTAAAATTAATTAAAATTGAGAGAGAGGGAGGGAGGGAGGGAGGAAGAGAGAGAGAGAGAGAGAGAGAGAGATGGACTGAAGTGTTTTATTTTATTTTTAAAGGGTTGACAAGGACAAGTGTTGGATTTGAGGTAAGTGATTCTGCTTTAAAAAACACAGCCTTTTGGGGCAACTTCTTGGCCTAGCTAGCCATTCCACATGTTTCACTCTGATAATTGTGACATTCTAGTCTGCCTACATAGGAAGATCAGACTCATTGCTGCTGGGTTCTTTCACATGGGAGATAGTAGGAACTGTAGATCTATGCAGACAAGAGTGTATGCCCTATCAGAAAGCCACAGTCCTTCCATTAGCTATAGTGAGTCAAGTAACAACAGAGTAGAATAAGAGTGTAAGAAGGACTGGGTCGATTATAAACATGGAATTGAATTCATGATCCCACGGTGATAGGTTTCAGCAAAGTACTTGGAGTGCTTAGTTTTTCTTAGAAAACTGACTAATGTTTTTTTTCCAAACATTTGGTATTATACTCAGCATGTGGTCGAATTGCACTGCATTCTTGTGGTACTGCTTTGCCAGTTTTAATTCTTAATATGAAAGAACAGAATTGTTTTACTGCAGTACTTTCCCAAGCACAAATTCTACCAATAACATTCTGGCAAAGAATCCCATATCTAAAGCCTTCTGAATACACAGAGGCAAATCTTTATGCAACCTATTATTAATAATAAATTATTTGTAATGAATGCAGGACAATGCATACATACAGAATGAGTACAATATTGTCACTGCAATTTCCGTAGTCCCTGCTCACAAATCACCTGTGCCAGTGAAAATAATTTTCCTAGCCCTTTAGCCATAAAGCCCAAGATTATGTGGGTCTTATCATGCATCACTGCTATAAAGATAGAAAGGACGTTTTATTATTAAATACGTGTCATATTATGAGCCAGAAGAGATAGCTGTATTTATTTCAGCATCCTTCCTGACTTTCTGTATATTTTAGAAATAGTACTGTAGGATTGTTAGAATGGCTCTTTGTTCATCCATAGCAAGATGGCGGATAAAGCCTTCACTCTGCTCTGCCATATGCTTCCCTGCTTTCTTGATCTAGCATTATGAATCAGAGATGCTTCATACTTTTAACTACCTTGAGATTATCTTTGTTCTTATATTACCTAAGAGAATGGAGTGTTTTTCTGCCCTGCATGTGAGGAACTAATTATAGCACAAAAGAACAGAAGCCAAATTGGGCTTGAAAAAAAAAAGAGGGGGGAAGAGATTACTGTTAATAATTCATATTTCATTTGAAAAACAAAAGATGATAGAGATCAAGCATTCTTTTCCTAAAACTATACTCAGATATTTTTGGCACATTGTATAGCATTTACATTGGAAATAATCTAGAGCACAATTTATTTCTGGTTTTAGCCCTAGTGAAAATGAAAGGGGAAACTGAGATGGGGAAAAATCCTGACTTCCCTCCCCACATCCCAAACTCTGGAGTAATCCTGTTCAAGGCTAATGATTGACCAAAACTTAGAAATCTTACATCTTTCAGTAAATGTTTCAGAAAAAAATAACTATATGTTGTATATCTGCTTACATTACTATTCCAAAAGCTGTTTGAATCAGTCCCTTCTCTAATTTTGCACCATTAGACTTTTTCAATCCAAATTTCTAAGATTGGTCCTTCAAATCCCAAAATGTTTCTTTCATGCCACCCTAAGACTAGATATAGGCCTCCTTAAAGTTGAGGCTAGAGCAGTGGTTCTCAACCTTTTTAATGTCGCGACCCCAACCGGTCGTAAGTCGAGGACTAAACCGGTCGTAAGTCGAGGACTAAACCAGTCGTAAGTCGAGGACTAAACCAGTCGTAAGTCGAGGACTACCCAACCGGTCATAAGTCGAGGACTTTCCCTGCCCGGGAGCGCCGCGCATGCGTGGTTCCATCCCCTGCGCCGGCCGAGGTGTAGCTGGCAAGCGGCAGAGACGGAGACCACCAGCTGGCCCAGCTCAAGGGAGGTAAGGCACCCGCCGGAAAAGGGAAAAAAATAGCGGACAGCCTTGCTTGGCGACCCCCGTGAAATGGTCGATCGACCCCAAATGGGGTCGCGACCCATAGGTTGAGAACCGCTGGGCTAGAGCTCTTTTATGACTCATGGACTTCAACTCCCAGAATTCCTGAGCCAGCCACGCTGAAGGAAAAGGGAGAGGTTTCTAAGCTGAGCCATGCTGGCTAAGGAATTCTGGTAATTGAAGTCCACGAGTCATAAAAGAGCCATGGTTACCTACCCTTGTACTAGAGGAACTTAAAAACCGTTAACAGGTTGTTTTGGCCCACATCTTTCATCATCCCTGACTGACAACCATTCTGGGCTCTTCTGGAAGTAAGAGTCCAACACTGTGTGGAGGGCCAACATTTTTTTCTACAGTTCATCCTCCTCCAGGTTTCTTAAATAGGTTATCTAGTCCATGTTTTCATATTCACCAAATAAATATCTTCAACCTGCCTTTCCAGTCAGATATAGGGATTTAACACAGCCAGCTCTGACATGTATTTGCAACTACTGAAAAAGACTTACAGAGGCTGTCACTGCTTAAAATACAGTATGCACAGAATGGATAAACCTGATCAGCACATCACACCCAGTGAATGCAAACAGCATGTTCTTCCTGATAATACCCCAAGATTTCCATCTCCCCAAGGCAGGCTATTTTATTAATGCTTCCAGGTATGAGTTTTTCTTTCAGCTGTTTAGATAAGATTACTGTACTGCCTTTGCAGCTTTAATCTCCTTCATACAATCTCTGGGTTGGAAAGGAAGGACAAATAATGAGGACAAGAGATGAAAAATTACTCTCACATGATCTGCAGTTATATATAAAACAACACTGGTGGCCCTGGATGTCTTTTGGTGGCAGCCTTGTCAGATTCATTGGCTATGTAGCATTAGAACGAGGCCAAATGAGCATTATAAAAGAAAGTTGAAGGAGAAAGCTAGGAGGAGCCAATGGTTAAATAAAAATTCATACTGAATGGTT